TTTTGTTTTTTCGCGCCCGTTTTGTTTTCTCGAGAGTGCGGGAAAAGAGCGAAGAGAAGAAAGCCGATGCGTCCCGACAATTGGGGCGCCTTTACAAGGCCCTGTTCGGCCGTAATCCCTCCTCATGAAATATTCAGCGGGGAAGGACGCTCGGCCCACTTTCATGCTCAGCTGGATTTGGGGCCGCTGCTTTGGTTTAGGAGACCGCTTTCGCCGGTGCGATGGACCGCGCCGAGCGCTGCTACACGAGCCATCCAAACAATCCGGCGCATCCAACGTGTCACGTGACAACGCGTGCGTGTTTTCGGGGTGTATTTTTCTCGAAAATTCGGCAAGGCGTTCCTCGGCGTCTGTCTATCTGAGTTTTTAGTTTTGGAGGTTTCGTCGGTTTTCCTCGATTTTGATAAACCTTCTGGAGGATTAATGGGGAGTTTTAGTAGGTCCTTCCAGGTGACCCCGATAACGGTAAGAGGCATGCGCAAAGGCGGCGCCGTAGCATCGGGTATCGTTATCGGAGTATACTAGAGTTTTAGTAGATCGTTTCGATGATTCCGATAACGACACTCCGCCCGACGCGTTTGCGCGTGCATCGTATTGTTGACGGAGGTATCAGAACGTTCTTCTGCTTCCTCATTGGAACGGTCGACTAAAACTCCCTAATTTTTGGAGTTTTTCGGCATTTACCGAAAAGGCGGACCGCAAATCCAAAGGTCGCGTGACATTGACGTGGCATTGGATTGGCTCCGACGGCTCGTGGGAGTCCAGTGCAGTCCATCGCGAGACGAGGCGTTGTTCTCCGTGTTTGTCTCTACGTCTCTCCCGATTCCTTCGCCTACACCGAACTTTTTACTTTTTTTACGCCGCTTTGTCCGTCTTCGGTGTGTTTCATGGCTTGCTTCGTTCGAGCGGCAGTGCACTCCGTTTTCTTTTACCGGATTACTGTGCCGGGTCTTCGTTCGGAATAAATGAACAAGCAGATAAGGGAAAAGCAGGGACGGTGCGGGGTTTTTGCTTTGCAGCACTGCTTCATCGCGGTTGATATCTCCCTTCTTATTGTTTTTTTGGTTTTCGGTTGGGGAAGTTGGCGTCTCCCCTGTCGATCCCTCTTGTCTTTGGTGGGGGGCCTGTGACCGAACGAATAGGGGACTTCCGTTGTGGAGTTGGGAACGGAATTGAGAGCAAGTCGGTTGGAAAGACGAGCAGGAGAATGCTGTCAGGGTGGAAGATTGCTCGGAGGGTGTTCTTGCTGCGTTTTGTGCATTTGGTTAATGCCCAAACTCAATATGACCCGCGTCAGGTTATTGGGGAGATTCGACTGTAACGTCCCTGGCGGCCTAGTTGAGAACTGCGTGCGTTGGGACCAGCGTCGGGTAATGTATATCTAAAAAGTACTTGAAGTAAATTACAAAGTAAGTTAGAGGTTACGTAGTTCAAGTATAGTAGTAAGGTACACAGGGTGCAATATGCTCGAAGAAAAGTACTATAAATACAATGTACCTTCAAAGTAAAGCACAGGTACTATTTAGCACAATCTTTCATGGTGCCCTTCTATTCCCTTATACAGTGTTCATATATATATATATATATATATATATATATATATATATATATATATATATATATATATATATATATATATGCATTGCCCCAGGGGTTATAGGGGCGCCTCAATTATTTTTGGAAATTGCGGAGAATATTGGATAAAGTCAAGTGGCTTTAGAGTTACAAAGCATCATTTGGTGATACAAATTTAACAAGACCAAATCTGGGGAATATACTTTGATGTCGGAGTTGTTCCTTCCTCGGAAAGTTCCCCCTCCGCAAAGAAGAAGGCGCTTCTGCGCTTGCGCCCCGATGGCCTTGCCCTTGACTGTAGAGTTCCGGGTATCGTAGCGTGTTGCGGAGCGTCAAAGCGGTCGATCTTGGGACACTCCTGTTTGCTTTCCGGGCATTAGGGAGTTTTCGTAGGTGGTTTCCGCTGTCCCGCAACGCTTTCCGCAACCCGCTATGATACCCGGAACTCTACAGTCAAGGGTATCGGTGCGCAGGCGCAGTAGCGCCTTCTTCGTTGCGGAGGACTTGGCGGAGGGGGAAACGCGGTCTACGGAAACTCCGTAATCTGACCGGGTTGAACCGTCGCCGTCTTTGAAAAACTCGCTCGCGCATTCCCCTAAACGAAGAAGCGTGTCCGCGAAAGATCATGAACCGGATGCGCATCGTCGAGTGGCGCGAGCGACCACGCGACCCTCCTCTCTTTTCTCAACGTCTGATTGGTCGAACGCACCGCAACGCTTGCGAGAGAAGCGAGTCTCTCTACTTTCTGGCGTCGCGCTACGAGGGTTGCGGGACGGCGCGCGTCGTACCGCAAGCGATCGCAAGCGACCGCTCCTTGCCGCAGGGACGCCGCAACGCGTTCAAGCGCTTTCAATCGCGAATGTGCGTTTGGGCCTTTACGGGCCAGAATGTCGCGTGTGGGCGCTCGCTTGGCGTGACTCGAGTGTGAGCAGAGCACCGGTTGTGTATGCAGGGAAGGGGGAAAAGAGGGGGAACAGTGCTCGCGCGATCGTGCTCCGGCGGACGGTCATCGCGGCCGACGCGCGGCGAGTGTCCCTTCCCTGACCGCACCTTTTGGCCGTCGAGGGCTCGCCCTGGATGGGCCCGAGTCACGGCAACAGGCTGCCGTGACGCGGGACCGTTAGCGCGCCCTGTGTCTCCCTGGGCATTATCCCTCTTTTTCCCCCGTGTTTGCCGGTCTCTTGGCACGGCGAGGGGTATGGAGGGTGTTGTCCTCGTGAGAGTCGCCAACACTGGGCAATTGACTAGGTAATCGTTAAGAGTTCGTTTTTGCTTAAAAAAAAAAAAAAACGCGTTTTTTTTTTTTTTTTTTTTTTTTTTTACGATTTGTTTTGGGAGTTACTTTTTTCACAGAAAGAAACAAAAAAAATGTCTCAAAGAATGTGTGACGTATCAATGCAACACGCAATGTCCCCGCTATATTTAGTGGGGAAACCTGGATCGGTGAATAATTAACTACGCGCCGATTCGATCTGCCCGCTAAATTTAACGAAGAAATGCTGCGCACTGTGTTTTGGGCTTGTATAATGAAATAACAGAGACGCCTAGCACAGCTCTAGACATGCTACACATTGTGTGTCTCCCGACTTTATCCCAAGGAGTAATATGCATTTTAGATTGAAGTGACACTGCACAGCCCAGAAGGGTGAAGACATTATGCTTCTTACATTGTGGGCCTTGGCGGTTAGCGGTTAACACACAGGCAGTGCACAGAGTCCACTTCTCTTGCTGACTGCCCAAGTAACACACTGAACCTGAGGCCCTAGGGCAGAAAACAACAGACAAACGACTGCCAGTAGTCTTCTGCTTTTTTCTTTGCCACATCCTAAGTTTTTAGGGTTTTTTTAAATTCCAGGGCTTGTAAAGTTTCAAGTTTTTTACGTACTGAGTACTCTGCAGGTTTATCAAATACAAGAACTTTTATGGTTTTTCTAAAGAAGACTTTTTTTTTTATCAAATTGATTTGCTGGTGCCACAAACTTGTTAAACTACACTTGACTGCTATTTATTCAAATGTGAGTATACTGTCATATCTGGAGAGATAGCCCACCTAAAATCGAGAGAAAATCGGAAGAAATAATGAGTGGGCTAACTTTCGGTGTGCAATCAAGAAAAGTTGAAAAAATGCTATATGTAGATTATGCGTCCCTGCCAAACAGTTTGCAGCGAGGTGCAATGAAGCATAGATGACTGCACTTCCCAGTTAGCAATGTTCGCTTATATTTCGCCATAGCTAACTAGGCTCATTTACGCCAAGGTCATCATTGATCCAAACACGATTACTAGAAGTGGCCTATCTTTCGGTGTTCAAAAGAAAATAGCACATCAAGTCAAAAATAGGGGGAGGTTACCTTTGGGGGGTGAGGCATGTATCGGGATTTTATGGTACTTTAAATTTTTGATCATATGTGTCAATCAGTGTTTAATATAAAAATCACATGAAAAGTCCCCATACATGTTGCTGTTTTTAATTGGAATAAGCCACAAATAATCTATTTGTGGGTTGATCCCAAAATGGACTATACAACTTTTTTTTATCTTGATGATTCTAAGATGGGTTGCAAAACTCTTGCGTGCACTTGGCTCTTTGTGGTGCGTGTGAAGCACAAAAGTTTCTGACAATCTAATAAATATTGGTTAATTAATTTGTTAACAGTTCCAGTTCATTGTGTTTTCATTGTAATGAATGGCAGGAACTTCCGTCATCATATGTGGTCTCCAAAGAGGAAGTAATCAAATATGCAGATGAACGAACCTTACTTTATGTATGAAACAAATTTTCCAAAGCCGCCACAAGACAAAATCGTAGAATTCATAGAATTTGTTTTATTCTATAAAATAGTTCATTTATCTGCATATTTTAGTTTACATTGTAATGTACAAACACCCAGCCTGAGTTTGAATGTTTTTATTGGGAGTAGTGTCTAGCCTGTCAACCTTATTTGTAAATATCCCAGGACATTATTGGTAAATATCCCAAGGTAGAGTAGGCTCATGATATAAATCCGGCTCATCGTGGGGCTTTCCCTGAGTCATATTTTCATATAGCCTTAACTGCTAGGCTCTCACCCTTGCAGTGTGGATCAATTGCAGCTTAAGCCTCCTGCTCTTTCGATGCTTAAGGCCCAATTTGCCGCAATTGGTAGACCACAAGGTCAAATCCTGGACCGGCAGATTTTTTCAGTTGCACAGATGTTGCTCATGCTCCGTCTGCCAAGCCTTCCAGGTTTGGAAAGTACCTTCTATGTGCGAGTACTCATACCAATAAAGTGGTCTGCTCAGCTACACTTGCGCACTGTGCCTTCGTCTACACTGTAGACATTTCTGAGATGGAGTATGGGGGGCATAACTCGCACTCCATAATTGGTAGTATCATCTGTTCGTCCCGGAATGTTCTGCAAGGGTGTCTCCTTTTTTCTTCGCAGCCGACCAGGCTGAACGTGTACAAGAATGACAACGACAGCTGGGACTACACCAACCCCACTCTGGGTAAGTGGACAGGGTTATCTTTCTTGGTACCCTCTCTTTACCTGCCTAGTATTTCTGGCGCCGCCTGCTTGGGCACCTCTTACAGGGCTAAATAAGCTATGCTTCAGAGTGGCAACATATCAGCCACCTTGGTGCACAAACTCGTTGTTGCCAGTCGTCTTACGCTTTATCCGAAAATGCAGGGAGCTCTTTTCCGTTCACCAGGAATACCGTAAAGTCTGCGACAGACAAAGAAAACAATGTCGCCCGAGCCTGACGACGCCAATTGTAAAGTCCAGGAAGTCGCGTTTTCAAATCGTAACAATAGCTAACTGAGCACCAAAATGCCCACGTAACAGTTGGGGAATCGATTGTCAGTACTCTAAGCCTAGCTTAGTATCAGTAGCTCTGGTACCATCTCCATCTAAAATTAACTCTGTTATCACTTTTTTTTTTTTTTTTTTTTTGACATTATTTAAGCATTGGGTGACGCAGAAAGGTAGGATTCCCTAATGTCTTGGCCGACTTGGGAAACTTGAAGGGGAGGTTGATGGGCCACTCGCCCATTTAATCGGGACAGCCTCGGCCGAATTTTACTTTGGGGCCTTTCTGCTGGGTGTGTCTCAAGGTGCTTCTCAAGCGGGGCTTGAGAAGTGGGCTCTTCGATAGGCCGCACTCAGAGACAGTGTTCCGTGGCGTCAAAACGAAAGCTGTGGGCGCTCGTACGCCTTGAGCGCCGTTCTTAGCTGTGCATGCACGCTCTTTGTTTTTGAGGTGCCACAAGAAGTTGACCCCAAATGTAGCACATCTGCCAGTCTTTTTTTCTTTTTTTTTTTTTTTTCTGGTGTGCTTGCAAATGCTTCAACAGAAGAACCACCTTGTGGCATTTTGTAAGTGAACACCAATTGGTCTAACTGTTGCTCTGCTACGAATTGGGTCTGAACATACTGTGTGAAGACGGTCATCATTACGATGTTGGAATCTTCGCGGCATTGGGTTGTACCTACATACATACCTCGATTATTGCTAAGTAGAGAGTTTCACTTGTCGGTAGTGCTTCTGATTCCCAATTAGATTGATGATAGTGGCACTTGGAGAAACATATTTAGAGCCACAGGTGTAGCATTTTCTTATGCCTCAAAAAAGTGGGACCTTTTTTAAGCTCTACAAGGCATACAAATTTATTTTGCTGCATTCTGGTTCATACCTCAGCCCTGATAATGCCCTCCAGTTTTTCTTTACAGTTGACTCCAATTAAGGAGTACTTTCGTAACGACTTAGTCCATCTCTAAGTCTTTTTATACGAGTGTCTTCAATATGTAGCAGGACTCTGTTTTTTTAACCTGAAATAAGTTTGCAATCAGGCGTAGGAACAATTGTTTCAGTGTCCCAGGAAGGGGAAAGGAAGGCAGCTAACTAAAGCCTGCTTTTCAACTTTTTCTTCTGCTTTTTTGTATCAAATGGGATCTCGGTTTGTGGGTTGTTCATGAAGGATTACCACTGTGCTTTAGACCGTCCTTGATTCTGACCAGTGAAACACTGTCAATAAACAGAACTTTGTTAGGCAACTTTGCGGCAGAAGGGACATTGTTCTTCTACTTTTGCACCGGCCATTTCTTATGCTGGCTACATCTAGTTGAGGACATTGTAGTTTGTTGCAAGCTCCTTCCCAGGAATACAGCAGTTTTTGTTGTTTTGTTTTTGCTGTTGGTAATCTTTTTATAAATTGGCGGGCCTCGATGCATTTTTGCTGTCTGAGAGTTCCAGGTTGATTATGATGTTGGTTTTAACTCAATAACACTACTTTAATTAGCTTGGCATACAATTCGCATCTTGTTGCATTTGATGGTGATAAACACTCATCACCCTCCATCCTTTAAATGAAGTTTGGTCAAAAGCCTTATAACTCTCGCTGAATAGGGATTTAGGTGGTTGCAGTATTTGTGTGAATGCTTTTGAACTCTGCTTAATTAGGTCGTTTGGATCGCAAATGATTTCTTCAAAGCAGAACAAAAAACCAATGTAATGGGTAAAATGGAAACTTGGGCAAGTTGGTGATTTATATTCTAAGGTTAACAACACAATATCAGTCACACACACCGATACACAAAAGGACAAACACACGTGCTGACTTACAACTCGTTTTGTATTTTGTTACTTCTTTGTTCTCGTCTTTTGTCGACTCTCCCAATCTTCATGACCAGCACAATAGCACGGATATAGGAACTACTTCTAAATATGTTTCTGAATCATCACCGCAATTTTCAGGATAAAAATTTGAGCTCTTTTTGAGACTGTGCTAAGGACGGACTACTGACACGCTTGTCAGCGAGAAGCGCTGTCTTTTGAGCTTCCATTATCTCTCTTGTGAGTGGGTCCCGACTTCTATTACAGAAAATTTTTAAAATCCGCATTTACAATCCCTACAGTGTATGCCCAAGGTGTCCCGAAACGACTCTGTGAGTGTTATAAAAGCGCTCTCTTAAAGGGATGCTGAACCGAAATCTGGTTTCGACAAAACACGCGACAGAAGCGTGCAACGGGATGCTGCAAACACCAAAACATCACTCATACAGCGATATCTCGAACGGATGACCTATTTTTCAAAGAAAGGAGGCGCATTTGACAGAAATGTTTACGTCATGTTTCTCCGAGAAGGAGAGGGAACGGCCTCGCGCCTTCTCCGCCTCGCTGCCTTGAGGGGGCGAAGCAAAGAGAGGAGGGAACAAGATATCTTCACGTCACGCGCGTGTCGCCTGGTTCATTCTCGACCTCTTTTTCCAAAAATAGGGCCGTCCGTTCGAGATACCGTCCTACGAGTAGTGTTGTAGGGATTGTAGCGTCCCGCCTACATCTCCTGCATTGTTTTTCTGAAATTCAAATTACGGTTCACCATCCCTTTAAGCAATCGTTTAAACACCTGCCCGATTGTGCTATATATTCTGCACCACATGAGTGGAATGGAATGAATTAACCTTTTGATGCAAGTAACAAAGCTCTTCTGGTGCTTTTTTGTACAGCCAGCTTGACGGTGTGCTGACACATTGACTTTGCTGCAAAAGCTCACAAGCTTATTCGGTACAGAAAAGGCTATGTTGATGTTGATACAGTTTCCCATCCTCTTAAGTCCAAAAAATTGGTTTGCTCTGTATGTTTATACAGCCTTGGTGGAGATACGCCACGACGGATAATCGGTCTCTTAGCTGCAGATGAGAAATTTAGCCAGTGCAGTATAACTGCTAACCTGGGATTTTTAACGTGCATCACGCAGTAGTGATTACACGAACGCGTGCCGGTACAAAACTCATCCAGATCAAAACGGGCGGGGGCGGTGGGAAATCGAACCCAAGAGGTTCCCAGCGCAAGCTTTCGCTCGACGCTCCGAGCTGAGACGCGTTAGCCCACTCGGCCACTTCCTCCCCATCTCTTGAGTCCATGTGACACATTATGTATATATGGAACGGCCATCTTTTTCTTTTTATTTCTTACTTTACTTATTACTTGATTACCCCCTCTGATTTTCTTTAAAACATCTGCTGCTGTAACTGCCAATAAGGAACTAGGGTACCTTGCTGGCTTTAACCTGCTAATCTGTGCACTGAAGCTTACTTTCAGAGAATGAAGACATGAATTTTTAAGAGCTTTCGTGAAGCATAACTCACTAGCTTAGAGTGTGCCGATCTGAACGTAAGGAGTGGTTTCTTTCCCCTCGATTTGTACGACCAGCATACTTGATAATCCGCAAAATATAACCGAAGGTCTAAAAAACGGACGCATCTCCACGTGGTGAATGATGTTGATTGGGGCAAAGCTCTCGTGGTGCTGAGGATACTGATTTCATTGTTCATAGGTAGCGCTGATGGTGCTGATATGTTTTTATTGCTCATAGGTAGTGCTGAGTTCCGGGTTGCGTTTCGACTTCATTATTACTGCTTTACGGTCGCTGAAATGCAGAGCCAGTGGTTCTTCTAGCGGATCAGCTTGGATCCGCTAGAAGCCGTGAGAACGCATCTCCACCGCTTAAGTCAACGGTCCATGTCAGAAAGATAATGTGTGGTATGGATTCGTGGTTATATGTGCAGTTGAGCATTTGACCGCAGCACCCTCTTGTCGATAAACGTTGAGCCAATGCATGCAAAGTTTAACGCGATTATATACGCATTTGACCGCAGCGCCCTCTCCTGTATAGACGTTGAGTGGCCACATGCAACGTTTCATCCATGACATCCTCAGGTCTTGAGTTACTACCACATCTCAGAGCCCGCTACTCGTCCCGCAGTCGTGGCCGAGTGGTTAAGGCGATGGACTAGAAATCCATTGGGGTCTCCCCGCACAGGTTCGAATCCTGTCAACTGCGCAAACACTTTTTTTTTTGTTTTAAGAAGACAGATGGGATGGCAATTGATGTGAGCACGGACGCCGTATGGACAAGGCTAGACCTTAAGGAACTTCGCCCCCAAAATCAGAAGGACCCTTCTGTGGGAAGTTCATGCGTTACTTCTAGAGGATCTATATACCGTATTTTCCGGGCTATAGTCCGCGGACTATACTTGTTTAAAAGTTTTAATTTGTGGCTGTGCGGACTATCTACGCGTGCGGACTATACAGGAATTATGTTTTTCAATATCGTTGATTATGACGAGACGGGACGGATTTTGTGAATAAAAGAGTATGTTATTGATAATTTATGTATATTATAGGCTTTTTTTGTGAGCTAAGATAGCATACATATGTCAAGGTGTGCCGCGTATGAGAAGAATTTCGTGTCAACTAGGCACGAGGTGCGGACTATTGACTGGGTGCGGACTATGCAGCGGGTGCGGACTATCTAAGCAAAAACTTTCATTTTTGGCCCCAAATTTGCCTCTGCGGACTATACACCGGGTGCGGACTATAGTCTTGAAAATATGGTAGGTCTTAAAACGTGAAAGAATGTTCGGTACCAGAAGCTGAAAGGAAAATCTTTAGCTGCGCAATCTAGAGTAATCATGAAGTCGTCCACAAAGCAAAACACCTTCACA